CCGGGGTCCGCGCCGCCGCCACCCCGTCCTCGGGACTCGTCAAGTCCTCGTAGGAGCGGGTGTGCACGAACATGGCTCCCTCCTGGCCCGCCCCTGGGAACAACGGGCCATGCAGCATCCGTCTGCCTGTCCCCCACGCTGAGGCAGCGGGTGGAGAGAGGGTGCAAAAGGGACAGGGGGTGCAGGGAGGGACCTGCCCTCTTCTCCCCATCCCAGGCATCCAGGGGTATAGGTCCGGCTGGTAGGGAGTGACCAGTGGGCCCATCTCCCCCTGTCCACAAGGCTGTGGAGGACCCAGCCCACATAACGAGGAGCTGCTTTCCCTCCCTCCCCTTCATTTATCCCCGTGGCAAGCTCTTCCCCTTACCTGGCTCCGTCCCCTGCGCCAGTCCTGGCGTGGGGCTCTCGGATCGCTCCGCGTGCTGCCCATCTCCCGGTGCCAGGGACCCATTGGGCACTTCCCAGCCTTTCTTCTTGTGGACATCCGCAGCCATTCCTCAGGGCGGGACCTGCGTGCAACCCACAGCATCGGCCCTTTGCTCTCTCACCCGCAAAACGGGTCCTGAAACGCTCCGCTCGCAAGTGGGGCTGCGCCAGCATCCTCGGCCCAATCCTGCTGGCTCAGCAGGCAGCACTGAGCTCTGGTGAGACGTCAGGAAAGCTGCTCTAATCCAGCAGGATTTCCTCCCACCCGTGGCCCCCGCTCCTTCCAGCCCCAGCACCTTTCATCCAGACTTGGCCCCGATTTTTCCTGAGTGCCTGGAAAGCCGCTCAGTCCTCCCCTGCCCTGTCCCAGCATCGAGGGGGAAGGGATCTGGCCCTGGATGGGGCTGATCCCACACACTGCGATCCCAGAGGCCTCATGTTTGCAAAGGGCGGGTTTTATGGCCCTCCTTGGCCTGGATTAGGCAGCCGAGACGACAGATGGCATAACCCACGGTGAGGAGGGTGCCCTCTTGAACCCCTGCCTGGCAGGTTAGCCCTCCCGGACTGTGCCTCCAGCCCCTGCTTTCCTGCTTTGGGAAAGTGTTCCAGAGAAGTGAACACAAGCAAAAACAATAGTAAGGCAGGCTGGGCCGGGACCCAGTGCTGCTCTGGGTCAGGAGGCCGGTTGGGGGCGGGGCCCCCCCCCTGCCTCTGCAAGGAGCTGGTGGGGAGACTCACGGAGCCAGGGATTCGCTCCACGCTTCGTGATGCTCCCGCCACCCAGACCCAGCAGCAGCGGGTAACGCGACACCTGGGAGGGCTGGATGCTGGGACCCCCACCCCAAAAACCTGTGACACCCCGGCAGCC